ACTATTATTCTCTGATAATCCAATTCAAATCCAATTCACAAGTACAAGTTAGTTGGAGAAAATAATATTATTCACTGATGAAACATAACTATCATTACTGGAATGGACCAAATCAATAGCCCCCAATGTATGTACTGTTGGACAATAGTTTATAAAACTACCTATGACATTAAAATACAATAATTTAATTATAATTAATAATATGTAAAAAAAATAGTATACCTTTATCATAGTACTTTATCATCTAGGTAGATGGTATTCCTTAAAATGTTCATGAGATATTTTTGAAAAACATCTCTTTAAGTTTAGATTACTTGTGTATTATACAACATTGTCACGGTTCAACATTAATGTATAAACACTCATTAAATTGCTTGGCTTACAATGCAATAAAAACTGTTTCATATTCTCTTGAATTGTCTGTAAGGTTTTTTTTTTAAGAATACTTGAGTAGGTAATATAATTTACTTGCTGGATGAATAACTGTCATGGATCATGATTGACATGATTACAGTAACATTGAAGTCCAGTTATTATAGATAAAAAGTACTTTATATCTAAGGGTCCAGCACATATTATGGTGGTGGTAACTGGTGGATGGTCACTGGTCATTAATTTTTGAATAATAGTCAATGATCATGTTATATACTTATAATTGACATTGATATTACATTATTACGCATAAATTAAAAACCCAAACACTAATTAACACCAAACATTTTTTGACAAACATCAATAAACGAAATACGAACCACGTGTTCACGTACATACGTTATGTAATACATACGTTATGTGTTATTACTTATTGTGTATATTGTAATACCTTATACCACCTATGAATTATGATCTGAAGTCTGAACATTGAAACTGTTTCCGTACACCAAGTTACCAACATGATGTTATAACCGTATTGAAAAACTGTTTACCGGAACATAGGCGGGATACGCTACGTGGGGTCTGCTTGTTTACCATTCCCACCTGGACACCGTGTTCAAGGCGCAATCGCCCTGGTATCATATTTGTTGATTATTCGTGATAACAAATTTTGTTATTTCTTGGAAAAAATAATTCAAAATCGATAATATTGCTGTAACACTGATAAAAAGGAAATAAATTTGAATTTAAACAAATTTTAAAAATTGTTTAAAAATTATTGACTGGACCTTAGTGAAAGTTTTTGACACCGACATTTTTCTAAAAATCGGATTTACAAAATGGCTATCTTGAATTTTTCAAATATCAAATAGTAAATTTTTAAATTTTTAAATTTTACATAAGAAATATTAAAAAAAAATCGAAAAATATTTTAAATGTAGCGCAGACGACAATTGACAATTTAAAAAAAAAAAAAGTTGAAAATATTCAGTAGAACAAAAGTTATTACAATTGTCAGTTCATCGTGAAACACCCTGTATATTATATATAAGATTATATGCCATGCGGGAAATGTATATTTTATACATAGATAATAGATAAACCATAATAACCTTTGACTTTTGAGTAGTTTTTGACATTAATTTTTACTTTTTACTTTATTATATTACCCCATATAACCTCAAAATTGATAGTAATAAATGACCACATGATAAATTCCAATGGGTCTCCGTCTCTTTATTATATCTATGATTTTACATCTATTTCAATATATTGATCAATCTAAAACAATATTTAGTTTGTGAGTATACACGATAACCGTATTTTTTGGTTACCCTTTCGAAGGGGTACTTATTGTTTTATATTTTTATTTAGATTTTGAATAATATTTCGGGGATTTTAAGTTTGTCATGCCAAATATACGGCGACTTAACTATGTGTATTGCTTGGCGATATATATATATATTAATAAATTATTTTTATTGTATTCATCAAATTATTTATAAATTCCAAAGCATTCTGATTTCTGTACAACAATGTCTACGTATTTGAACAGTTGATAAATTCTATAATTATATCATTACAATTTTTTCATATATCTGGTACAAAGCATTTGTTTCATAACCAAAAATGGCTATTGGTTTAGTGTTCTATAATAATTATATAATTGTACCGTTATGTACTTATGTACCTAGATCATAAGAGCTATTTTTTTTAATCAATTTTTAGGATACCTAAAGTCTAAAAGATATATCAGAATAATACAATTATATTTTTACACTATAGCTGGGATTCTGTTATATAATAATATACTTATATTATTAAACATGATAAACTACTACCACGTTGTAGGGACCGTTCAATTATTAGACTAGCTACCTTATTTTGTTATGATGTTTCTATTTAACAATCAAGGACGATATTATTCGTACGGCTGTGACCTGTGAATTATACAGAGTGATTTGATTGTTTATCAATAATACATTAATACATGTACAGGTAACTACTATCAAACGCCTTATTATAATTTAATATGACCCTTTTTTATTGGTACAGTGTACACTACTATAGTCTATACGTCTAGGTAGGTATACTATATATTATAAATTATAATTTATTATGTTTATGAATAATGAATGTATTAACTGTTTATATTTTGTATAATTTAATATTATGTAAATGATTAATACAATTTGTCAAAATGAACTACTTGAGTTGTATGGTAATTTTTCCTACTATATAGATACCTAAAAATAATGATAATTTAAATGATTAATACCTAGAGAATTAAATACTTTTAATACATGTCGTACAATAGAATTGTTTTGTTTCAATTACAATAGAAATAGGTACTGCGAAAGAAATAATAATTGTTTAAGGCAAGATGATGGATAGATATCCGTTATAAAGGTCCTTAACATTTTATTTAGCTATCAAGGCCGGAGTTTACACGTCCGTCGTCCACACAATTTAAAGGCCTTTATAACTTCCAAGTTAGGTTTATATTTTTTAAGTCGCCCCAATCCCCGATTATAGAATGTTTCTATTTAGGACACCTCTGCTTGAACAAAATGTACACTATATTTGAAAGGGAGCCGAAAACGCTTCAGGGTCTAATTGTCTATATATATATTATATATATTATATACACCCATCATAATTATTGAGCTTCCCACAATTCAGCTTACGGTTTACACCATGGGCCACTTGCGGAACGCGAACGTTGGTGGAGAGTCTAAGCCAAGGGTTAGCAAATGTTAATTGGTATTAACATTGATATTTTTATATGATTTTATACACGTCTATAATAAATTCTTCTATCAATCGTCTTATTTGTGCGTGTTTATATTTTATACCTGTATATTAGGTGAGTGGGCCTCAAAGTTTTTTTTACATGCTTGGTGGTCCGCACAATTAAAAAGGTTGGGATTGGGAACTGCTGGTTTACACTATAATAGTATTCTTGCACAGAGTTTCCACCAACGGCAATAATTTTAATGCAGCAACGACGGAACTATTTGTGTACTTATAACCTAGTTGAAGAAACTGAATATTTCACTTAATTATTCAAAAGTACAATATACATTAAATTATATTTAAATTTTACATATTATAGTGTGCAAGTTATCACAAGCGTATATTCTAGAAAGGCTAGAGGAAGGCGATGGGTTGGTAGGTTGCCTCAGAAGTCAGAACTATATTATATCGCCGCACAATATATTTATACTTTTCTCACTTCCTCTAAGTACTATTTAGTATTTACTTGAGCCTGCTAATTGAATTCTCTATATTTCGATGTAGGTAACAGTAGCTGATATTTGAAGTGATAACTGATAAGCGGGTTGCGGGTAACTCACGATTATATAAAGGCGTTTTTCTATACGCAAACTCGATTTAGAATTACTGGAAATTAAATAGCTATCCTAACCTAGCTATTTAGTATGTTTAAATCAATAGATTCGCAAAATTAAAACCAATAGAATAATTAGATGTCGCCTGAATTAGTGTCCAACTAGATAATCTATCACTAAGTCAAGCGCAAGCATCTAATAAAGTAAAAACCACTGTAAATAGATCTAATATAGTAATATCACGCCTTATTAAGATTTGAATTTAGAGCTAAAACTCCTGTCGTATTAATAATAATAATGATAACACTACGGCTACAGGTGGTTGTTAGATTGTATAGCCAACTTTAGATATGTGCAGAACGGTGGTTCGTCGTGATGTAAAATGTTTGTTAAATGTTGATTATCAATTATCTATCATAATTTATTAGATATATTATTTTTGAATTGCCGCATTCAAAAAACGGAGCTCTGTTTGATATATACCTATAATATATTATATATTATAGGTGATATTACACCTATATATTTAAATGTAGTTTTTAGCAATTAAACGTTCATTTTTCTTTATGTTTCGAAATGGGAAACTAATAAGAAAAAAATAGGTAGTGACTTGACTACTTGAGACTTCTCCAAAATACTAACTGAATAAAATTCAAACTCGATAGATATAATATATAGATATAATATATATATATATAATATTATATATGCACAGAATAACTATATAAAAAAAAATCATAAATATGAACATGTTAATGTATAAAAGCAAAATGTTATTCACTTTACTTCAACAATTGTTTTCATAAAAATACAAAAATGTGATTATGTAGTCAATATGCAGTTGGTGTATGACAGTCGGTTTAGTTTGATAAAAAAAAATTAATAGTTTTACTTTCTATTTATACAATGATAATGATATGATTATGTAACTTTAAATAAATAGGTAACTTTGAACTTAAAATATCAAAAATCATAAGAGTACTCGAAAAATAATATTTAATTAGTTATATACCTACAATCCTATTATTAGGTTATTATTAATATTAGTGCCCATAGTTGTAAATAGTTTATAGGTATAATGTATATAGGTAGGTTACTACTTACTAAGAAATTTAATTAAGTCTCATTTAATAACGAGATAGAACTAAACGTGAGTGAGACATAATTCAAGTTTTCAATTTTAGATGATAATAAATTATGAATTAAGAAACAGTATTATATATAGAAGATAAAAAAGGAAATAATGTATACAAATATTATGTTTTATTTTTTCAGATTAATCAAAGACTATTCAACATATTTCATCAAAATAAGGATATGGAATTTATTGGGATGTGACACATATGCTAAAATTTTTAAAAGAAATGTTGAAAAACATCCAAATAAAATAGCATTTAAGCATGAAGGTTCTACATGGAGATATATAGAAGTAAATATTACTATGAATACAGAAATGGAAATTTATAAAGTATAATGAATAACAATACCCATCTATCAATACATTATATGTGTGCTTACCATAGGGCGCCCATAGGGTATTTTTCAGGGAGGGATAACAAAATGAAACTAGATTCTAAAACCTATTATTGTGTACAAGCATAAAATGATTGGTTCACTGATTAAGTGATAAGTAAAAGGTATATATGGTATAAAGTACTTTATTAAATACAAAATAAGTATATGAATTTAAAGCATATATAATTTTATTTGCACATTTTATTATTCCCTCTTACCCCCCCCCCTCAATGGGCGCCCTTGGTACTTAATACTAAGTACATTAGTACTTATGTGATGGATCTAAATATTAAATCCATTACAACTCAACCTACAATAAAACTAATTGGTTGTATTATGAAATTTAATATTATCATTAATATTACTTATTACATACCAAACCTAGTATATTAAAAAAATCATTAATATGAACACTAGGAGATAGGCAGTTAAGATAATATAATTTTTAATATTTTTTTACGAGTATTGACTATAAATAGAATTAATATACTATTTAATTTTAATTATTGTGAAATATTACTTATACACATGGGCGGATAGGCCAATTTTGGCCTACCGGGAAATTTTACAAAGGGGCCCCACACATGAAAAAAAAAGTCGATCGCTTCGCTCGCAAGTACTGAAGTACATTACTATATGAATTTTATTAAGTACCACATCAAAATAAAGCATAACACATAACCAACAATGTATAACAAAATAGTTTTTTACTATTTAATCAAATTTAGTTTTTCATTTTAAAATAGTAACATTCTACCAAATACTATGCTCCTAATTTATTTATGATGTCTTCGGAATCAATTTTGTTGAGAATATCTTTCTCTACATTCATTAGCAACATACTCTCTAATACATTCTGACCTATTGTATTTCTTAAATAATTTTTTACAAATTTTAATTTCGAAAATGTACGTTCACATTCTACTTGTGTAATGGATAAAGTAAGCATAAATTTATATATTGGCTGCTTCTTTTATACATTGAAATTGGCGGGCACAGTCTTGTAAATCATTCAAAGTTTGTTTCACCATTTGATAAGCTGCAATTATATTAACTCCATGCCCTTGTAAATATTTTGATAGAGGAGTAGTTTTTTAAAAATTATATATGAGATATAAGATTATAATATTTTATTTGATATTTCAAATTATTTCTATCGTAGGTAATTGCATTTTATTAAAGGGCCCCATTACCGAAATACGAAGGGGGGCCCACCGGGAAATTCCCGGTTTCCCGGTAGGCCTATCCGTCCATGCTTATACACACATAAGCGTGCCCACGGGGTAGTGATTGTAGGCACTTGACTACTCTGTAAGCTTTCCCCCTTCTCAATATTCAATTATATTATGATAGTCCGGATGGTCAATCATTTTATTTTTATATATATAAAATACTGTTTACCACGGTAAATGTAGTTAAATGAGGTTATCCCATCCAAATTAGTTTTTATAAGTTAGGCGCACGATCTAAGATAGTATACTATCTTAAATCGTGCTTAGGCGTGAATATGAATATAATATAATATATGTATGTGGGTGTGTTAATGTGTTATATATGACTACCCTGCCATAAATGTCTGCGCATGCTTATGTATATACAACACATTTTTTTTATTATATTAACAACCTTAACAGGCTCTAAATATAATGTATATTATTAGTATTAATGTATATATATGTCATATTTCAAAAAAGTTAAAATATGATTTACCTTATAATACTTGATTATCCTTCTGATTGACTTTTCCCAAAAATTATCTTTTATACCATCAACTACCTAATAGATAAATAAAAACCATGATATTTTTGTATTTAATACTTCAGATTGCATAAGTGAACTATAATGATAAACACTTCTTTAAAATACTAAAATTATTCTTGATAATCTTAGATTTTGTGTACTTAAATAATATGTAACTTAGTACCTATTTTAATATTAAATTAAACATTTTAGGTTTAAATACTAAAAACAACTGTGTAGAACAATATTTATTAAATCGATTCCATATAGGTTAATAAATAAATAAAAAAATTCCTGATATGGTTTGTATAGAATTTTTTAAATAGGTACAAAAAATAAAAAAGGATTTCTGAAATTCTGCCAACTGCTAGAACTAGAAAAATACGTCAATTTTGCTTATAAGATATTATTTTTAATACTTTTATTTTATTAGGTTCAATATTATTTGTTGAGGATAATATTATGTTAAATTAAAAATAACCATTTCGAAAACTTAGCCAAGGTATTATACAATATTTTTCATAGATACCCATACAGTTTATGGTTGTTAAGTGTTAACAAATATAAAATAGCAATACATTAAAATATATATACTAAATAGAACTAAAATATAAATATAATATAATTATTAATTATAGTATAGACACTTACAATTGTTTTTAGGTAGAAGAGTTCAGCAACCAAATTGCCAATTATTTCAAAGAGCAAGGATTTAAGCGAGGTGATATTGTTGCTTTGTACATGGAAAGTTGTCCAGAATATGTATGCATTTGGCTTGGTTTGTCTAAAATTGGTGTTATAGTAGCTTTAATTAATAATAATCTACGTGCTGACACATTGGCACATTCTATAAAAGTATCAAATTGTTCAGCAGTCATAATTGGCAAGGAACAAATTAACGGTAAGCAGATATTATTCTCAAAATTTACTATATTTTATATTGATAAACAATAAAAACACGAGAGTAAGAAATTAAAAACACTAATCCGTCTATTTATCGAGAGATGTAATAATTTATATTATAAATTACATTTAAGTTTAAGTAGGTATCTGGTATACAATAAAACTTCTTACTTGCAATGTTTGTTTTATCCTTAATGGATATTTCCAATACTATTATTTTATCGGACAATGAATATTATAATAGCACAGAATAAAATAACGTACACAGCACATCAACAAATTAGTAGTCAGTCACTACTCACTACTCACTACTAAAGTACTAAGTACTAACACAGAATAGTAACTTTACTGTGCTACTACTCTAGTACTCTGACTTACTATCAAAGATCAAACCACACGTCGTGTTCATAATATTATTATGTACCTATCAAAATATAAAAATGGCGGCAATTCTTTATCATTTATATTTATATTTTGATAAAAAAAAATAGATAATATGATAAAATAAATTGAAAACTAAATCAGATTCACCAAGACGTCAACTGTCAAGGTCAATACGTCCTTTCGTTCGTTGAGTACTCGACTACAACAGTACAACACTGTCTACTCGAGTACCTATTGTACCTATGTGTACTCCTATATAAAAGTGTCAAACTACTCTAACTACTAGAAATATTGTCTATAATTGTATATATTTTGTCCGACACTCCGACATCAGCAGCTGCTCATTCAACCATTTCAACCATAGATAAAAAATAATGTATTACCTATGTAACAACGTTATAATATCCATATTAGATGCAACCACGATTTAAGCTAGTATGGTTTCCCAAAAAATCTTGAAAATGGTCTACTGAAAATTTAAATGAATCTCCATAAACAGCTGGAGATTTACGAACTACTGCGCTAGCGCTTATTTGTTGTAGTGACTATAAAATGCAGTTACCATTCAAATGTAAATTGTGGTTGAGTACTTGCGTCACAGAATAGATTAAATTAAAAATCTACTTCAATCTATTCTGTGGTTTCGTGATAGGTAGTCGTAGTCACTATGACAAATAAGCGCTGGTGCGTAAATATCCGGTTGTTTAATACTGATTATAGAGATTCATTTGGGTAGACAATTTTCAAGTATGGACTATGGGAATCATGGGTCGATAGTGGCCTCAACTAGGACCTATCCTATTTTTTTCGGGGGGGGGGGGGGGCTGCAGTTCTCAAATTGTCTCCTTATTATTCTGTGAAAACATTTCCCCTAATTCCCCCACCTTGCAAATGGTTTGTAATAAATACATCAATATTTATATACCTACAACCTACCTATATAATAATATTTATTCATTATAAGTTGGTGTCGCCACAGGACACTCCTTAAATGGTATAACAAATCAAAAATTTTGTCAGATTTAAGAAACTGACAAACTGTCTTGCAGAATATAGGATACAGGAACAGGATACTATACTAGTTGCAACTATATTATAATGTTAATATAATTAATTTATAGTTGGATATCTACGTTGACAGATAGGACATTTTGTCATTAGTCATTACCACCTACCCTACCTTTTGTTTTATATATTATGTACCTAGTTTTGGTTGTGTACGTTATATAATTTTTTTTTATTATTAATTGGTAAAAGGCTTCAACAACATAGGTTTTCACCTTGCATTATCTTAATATTCAAATACATAGGAATGGATGTACATTAGAACTTTATACAATTTGTATTATCTGTTTAAACGATCAATCATTTTCAAACAAAATTCCCCACCCGGTATTTTTGGACCATGGTAAATGAAAAGAGCTCAACGTTTTAGTTTATAAGACAACAATATTACACATTTTAAAATAAAACAGTTTGACTATTACAAATATTAAATAATGTCTATTGGGCATTGGCTACCTATTTGTCATTAGTATTTCAGTAGGTATTTGTGAGTTGTATACCCAAAGTGAGATAAACTATTAAACTGGTACCTACTAATAAATTAACAATCCATAATTTTAAGAAATATGTAGAATCAAATAAATCGTAAAAAATTGAATACTCTTTATTCATATCTTGTCTACATAGGTACACTGAAATAAATATATTTATAATTGGTTGTTGTTATTTTTACAGCATTGGTGGAAGTTATTAATACAACTACTGATGATAAATTGAATGATCTGTTCACGAAATCGAATGTATACATTAAAAATTACATTGATGACACTACTTCATCGATTAACACGCCAATAAGTAAAGCTATCAATCTTGATTATGAACTAAAAGAAATATCAAAAAGTGCTCCCGTAAAAGATATTTCTGAAGGTAGTTCAAAAGATCAAATGCTATATATTTATACATCAGGAACTACGGGTATGCCAAAGGCTGCTATTATGACCCAATCAAGGTAGGTAACCCAAAACAGCCAAAGCAAATTATAGTTCAATGTTATAAACGACCAACGACCTCAGACCTACCTATATTTTATTTAGTTAAATATTTTTATGACATTATTATTATTACTTATAATTTATAAAATATCTAATTTTTACCAAACTTTATTAGAGCTATTTATATGGCGATGGGTGCTAAGCACATAGCTGGAATAACTGAACATGACGTTGTGTATACTCCGTTACCATTGTATCACACTGCTGGCGGTATTTTGGGTGTTAGCAATGTCCTTTTAGGAGGTTCAACGTGTGTTATAAGGTCCAAGTTTTCAGCATCTAACTATTGGACTGATTGCCGTAAATATGAATGTACAGTAAGTATAAATAATAATATAATAATAATAATACATGATCCAATTATCGATTTCGCATACTTACACTCATTATTTCAAAAATAATACATTTTTTTGAAACTATTATTTTTTACATAATTTGATGTCGTTGCAAACACAACAATTTTTTTTTATTTTTCATTGTTAGGTATCATCTTTTTTTAATTTCATATTTCCAAGCAAGATTTTTTTGGGAGTATTTGGATTTATAATATTTTATATTCTATATAATAATCGAATCTCCAACTAGTAGCCAACTGGGTAGCTTTAGAATAAGCAGTGCTCAGTTGTTAAAGTGGGGGACGCAGGGAGATTCAGTCCCCCTACCTCTGACAGCGGTTAAAAAGCGTCCCCTTTAACAAATTAGGATTAACATTATTGAGGATTAAAATTGGGATGAGTATTGAGTATGCTTACACAATCACTGTTTAAACATTACGTATGCATTATACATTACACATACAGTTATATATGGAACGCTTAAAACTATATGGAGACAGAAGTCCCCCTGGAATTTTTCATACTTTTAGCCCTGGCAGTGCTTGTACCTTATAGGTGCATATTCTAAAGTGAACTTGGATATTACTTCTACCTAGGTACCTGGATAAGTCTAGAATTTTATACATTTTACGTATAATAAAGTTGATATATTTATTACCTTTTTTTTTTCAAATAACGGATCAAAGTAGGTAGACTATTCTAATGAATTTGTAGAATTATTTATTTTGTATTACTTACGCTTACCAAGAATGATAGGTAGGTACATGAATTCCGCAGCCTTTATATTCCGCACCTATTTTATAGCTAAACAGCTTAAGAGTTAAAGGATAGCGAGTTAGGTATAAATCAAAATTCCATAAAAACCAACGTATAGACATAGATAATGTTGTTAGGTACTTTCTATTTTTAAGTTTGATTATTTTTATTACCTATAGGTTAATTACTCTAATATTTAATCTGACAACACAAAATTGGTTCTGTTACTGTACGTAAATCGAAGTCATTGTTTATAAATTTATAAATGTCTATTCAATATGTCCGTAACAAAAACACTACATATCTCAATTCATCAATATTCTCCGAGGTCCGAACAGTATAAGTCTTCAATACTTTAATATTTAAATATTAAATAACGCTAGTTCACTGTCATTAAACGTAACTATTAGGCCATAAGACTTAACCTACCAGCTACCATATACACAGATATTAATAATGCTGCTATGAAGCAGATAATTAATTGTTTATACATTTCTATAATAATACAAATTACAAACATATAATTTATTTTAACAATGTTCTTATTTCTTCTAATGTTATGATATTCAGCAAAATTGTTTATAATATCGAATTATAATAAATAATAGACTTTGTAACAATAAGACCTTTTAACCAGACCTTGTTTCGTATCGTTAAGTGATATAAAAAAAAAAAATAAAAAATAAAATTCACATAATATGTATAATGTTCTCAACTATAGTGTACACTGTACATCAATTTGGAGTCTTGACTATTAATACAGCCTGAGTGGTTCTGTTCCGCGCAGAATAATTTTTGATATGTTATAGTTGTTAACTTATAAGTTATAAGTAGGTATTTAATGTTTTGATTAACCTAACCAGCTAACCTTACTAAATTTAACTTTTAGATATCTAAGTTATTCTGCTTATATGAATATGAAATAAAAAATGTATGTTTTCATTCAAAAAAGAAAAAGACTTCTAAAAAAACAACGACGTATAAATAAATCGAATTTTTTTTTCACTCCAAAATTCAATTTTTTATGACAGTTGAAACATTGGAATATGACCTATTTCCCGTACGACGGTTGCGTAGTGGGCGGAAAAGTGGAAATGCCACACTGCCTTCGCTGCAAAAGTTACTGTCCTAATCAGATAAATATTATTCATACACATATTATATGATATGTGTGTTACTCCTGTTGAGTGCGGTTCTACCATTGATCCAGATATCTATTAATTTATTGTATGGTGAAGTGTTTAATCAGGCCCTTCCAGAGAGAGGGTTCTCTGGATCAAAATTCACCCAGCCCCCAAAGACCAAACATAATCATAGGGGTCCCATGCGCCATGCTCATGCAAAAAAAAATAATTTAATCGAAAATCCCTGACCTGATATAAATGTAAGTTTTAACGACGCATTTATGGATATATAAATGATAAAAAAAAATAACAACATAGGTACCTACTGTAATAATATTAATGAACGGACCATTATAAACTACAAAGTACAAAGATTATATTATTATTTATTTATATTGCCGTTACAAAGGAAACATTTCTAATATTTGTTAAATATGTACCATAGTACCTAGACTTAATATCCTGAAATAAAATTTAAATAAAAAAGGGGCCTCTTGCATGATTCTGCCCCGGGCCCCCATGAGCCTCTGAACTGGCCTGAGTGTTTTCATTAACTCAAAATGACAATTTTCATTAGTTAAATATAAAATAGTTGTTTATTAAGTAAAAACACACAAGTTATAATAATTAATGTAATGGTACAAATCGTGTGACGTGAAGGTGTATAGCCGTACCTATAGGTAATTATTATGTATTAATTTTTTATTTTACAACAACATGGGCACACGGCAATAATAATATTTATAACCCCGCGGTGTCGTTCTTATCTTTGTTTACCTATACCTACAACAAATTTCGACGGAGGGTGTCCAACAAATTTTAATATATATACTGGGCACTCAGGTTCAGCTCAACTTAAGTTCAAGATATAAAACTCTTTATTCTCGTTACTACTAATGTTACTGCTTCGACGAATATATAAAATTATCTTTCGTTAAGAAAGGGAGGTTCTGTACTCCGGACCCCCCCAACCTCAAGTTACGGTCTTGGTTCTGTAAAAAGGCTTGTAGATTTTAGATACCAAGAACGACAAGAACAGTTAATTATGGATTACCATTTACCATAATATATCCAGAGATTTGACAAAAAAGTTTATGTTTGGCCTGTGTAGGAACTGGGAAGGAAATGTTCAATCTTGTGTCTCAAACGTCACCCGCGACTGAAATAGCTGACTTCCTGCCCTTTCCACATAATAATATAGGTACCTACTATATATAAAAAAACTTTTTTTAGAATGACATCAAATTATGTGAAAAAGAAAATTCTCAATTAGGTAAAGTTGAAACTTAACGAAATAATGAGTGTACACGTCTTGAATTTATCACCTTTTGGATCACCTACAACCGCCTTTCTAATAAATTATAATTTTAATATTTAAAAATAAATATTATTACCCAGGTATATATTAATTCAATATTATATTAAAGGTTGCACAATATATTGGTGAAATGTGCCGTTATTGTTTGGCTTCACCACCATCTGATGCCGACAATACTCATCAGGTCAGATTGATCTTAGGAAATGGTCTTCGTCCTCAGATATGGAACGATTTCATTACGCGGTTTAATATAAAGAAAGTGGCAGAGTTCTATGGAGCTACTGAGGGAAATGCTAACATGGGTAAACAAAACATACCTACCTAAACAATTAATCTAGATTTGAGCTGTTTTTTTTTTTTCAAGCTTAAGTATCTAAAAATATTACCACAAAACTATATCTGAAAGAAATATAACTATTTAATAAGCAAACAGTTTTAACCTTTAACCTAAATTATATTATTTTAATGATAATCACTTGGATACTTTCTTAAATATTGACATCAAATAATTTTTCAAATTTTCAGATTCTGATCAACGTTATGGGTTTATTGATTTTATAATGGTTTTTCTATTTAAATACTTTTCCTTTAAATTTTTGGGCTATAGACACGGAGTGCTCCAAAAATTAAAATACAAACTCTATTTATTACATGGCGTATACATAATTTTTGTTGGGGGGGGGATCAGATAAAAAATTTAAACCTAGGTACCTGCAGCACATTAAAAGAATAAATAACAAAATATAGGTACCTAATATATAATTATGTATAATAGTGTCTATAAATATTTAAATTTAAGTTTAAATAATTGAAGCATAAACTTATAGTAGGTATTAGATTATTACATGTAAAAATTTGCTAGCATAGTGAGAAAAAAATATTTTTTGTAATAACTAAAGTACAATAGGTACCTATATATTGGTATATTTTTTTTTTTGTTTTTAGTTGTATAATTTTCAAAAATTTGAAATTACACCCCTGAATTAAACATTTATAGTACACAATTTACTTAATTTTTATTATGATTCCTTGTAACTCTCTAACACTAAGAACACTATTTTACAAAACTTAAAAAAAAAGGCCTATGGGGGATCTGATATCCACATCTCTCCCTTGTATACGCCCCTGATCTACTATGTATATTATATAGTATATATCAAACATTTTAATGGGTACCTACTAATGGGTACCTACTAATATACAGTAACACTTACATTTTCCTCAACTATGAGGAGAAACTATAAAAATATATTAACTCAATTTAAACAAATTATATTTAGAAGGTATTGATTTTCAAATCCGATAATTTATTGATTTCAAATATTATATTATAACAACACAAATGTGTGATATATATGAAGTGCCTACCCCTCCCCCATCTACCATAATAGCTCATTTTTTTTTTTATTTAAGTTTTTAGGCTAGAATTAAATTTATAAATGTTCTGAACATTAAAATATTGTATAATATTTTTTGTTTTATAGTAAACACAACAAATAAAGTTGGTGCTGTTGGATTCATCCCATTCATCGGAGAACCATTTTATCCTGTCTGGTTGATACGTGTTGACCCAGATACCAATGAACCTATTCGAGGAGAAAATAATCTATGTATTAAATGTCAAGTTGGTAAGATTTTGGTTTAATTTCATTTGTATTTCATAAGAAACATTTTTATCATATTACTTACAATAAACTTAGCATCAGCTCGGCTCAAGGCGTAGGCGACAAAGGCCCACGCCTTAGGTGGCATTTTCAAAACAGTGATAAACTGATAATATTATTATTTTAATGCGGACAAATTAGATTTTGCCTAGTGCACTATTTTCAATTGAGCCATCCCTGCCAATTAGAATACATTCTTTAAACCAAATTTACTTATATAGGAGAGCCTGGATTATTGGTTGGAACAATAAGAAAAACAACTGAAAATTCTTTTAGTGGTTACGTGGAGAAATCAGCTTCTGAGAAAAAAATCATCAAAGATGTTTTTTGTAAAGGAGACAAAGTATTTAACTCTGGTAATTTTTTAGTACACATTTTGTTTTAAAATAAAAATTAATTAAAACAAAATTAATAACCTTATAATGATATAGGTACTTAATTGTTTATTTTAAAATATAGGTGATGTGCTAGTTCGAGATGAACTCAATTTCTTTTACTTTAAAGACCGTACAGGAGATACTTTCAGGTAAATTGAATAGTATTCGAAAGTTACTAAGATTATCAGTTAAAAATTACCAAATTACCAGATTTATAAAAATGTTGGTTATTGGAACTAGGTACCTAAATAATGTAATAATTAATATATATTAAATTATTTCTAAACTTTTGTAAAAATATAAAAGTTAAATTACTATTATAAATAAATACAAATATATGAGTAACTAATATCCTAAGTTTAAATTATTATTAATATTTAATAACTGTTGTATTACTATTTACTAACTTAAACTAACTAGTAATTTAATAATATTTAATATATAAATTTTACAAAAAAAAAAATCCTCTTAAACATTAAAAATAAACTATTATAGATTTAAATATTTTATAAATTGAACATAAATGTATAAATGATAAAATTTGAAATAGCTATCATTCAGTAATTTTAATTTTAGAGCCATAGATAGTAAGATAAAATTACCTTTAGGTTGGCACTTTATAAAAATAAGCCAAGGTCAGGGGCGTCATTTCAGTTTTTTTTCCGGGTGTGCAAGATTTTAGGCAGGCCAATTTTAACATTTAACCAGGCCAACTTTAACATTAATATTTAAACAATAACCATGCCGTTTAAAGTATTTAGTATTTATTTTATCAGCTATTCAGCTATGCTATGCTTACTCCACTATAGCTGATACCAGCGGGCTGGTACGAACTGTCTTACATAATAAAACCACAGAATAAGACTCGCTTCACACGGTTATAAAATAGGGATACATTTGATAATAAAGCTGAAAAAAAAAATTTAAATTACATGCATGAATCAGTGGCGCCAAAATATATATTTACTTTGCGTATGGTAAGGTAATTATAATAAATAGGTGGGTGTCAAAATTTTATGTGGAGGTGTCTAATGCCATAGTTAAAATTTTGGACTTCAGCGCCACTGGGCCAAGAATATTTTATTAATTTTTAATAGTAATCATATCGGCGCATAGGAGCATTAATGGAGGGCCAATTATTTATTCTATTATGTCAGTGGTGCCGTCGCACACCCTGCCCACCCCCAAATGACGCCCCTGGCCAAGGTACTCAAGTAGTCAAATATAGTATTCAAATAATTACAAGATTTAATTCACATGCATATTGTATGACCAGGAAGTAACCTTTTACGTATGTATTTTTTTTCGGTACCCACAAACTAGTCAAGTCTTACGTAATATGGCTAAAAAATCGAGTGATTCATGAAAGTTGTTTTCAATTCTACTAATAAATAATAATATTGATATTATGTTTAATTTTTAAAAGTTTAAAATTTTAAGTGCTGTTTAATTGATTAAGTTAAATTAATAGGTGGAAAGGTGAAAATGTTTCAACATCAGAAGTGGAGGCTGCTATTAGTAATATAGTTAAATTGAAAGATTGTTTAGTTTATGGAGTAGAGGTAATTTACAAAATTAAAAAATACTCTATTTAAATTATTACTCTATCTATTTTGCATACCTAGGTACCGAATACAGAAGGAAAAGCCGGAATGGTCGCCATTGTAGATGAAACTAGTGACTTAGATTTGGATAAATTGTCTGCTGGAATCAATAAATCATTGCCAGCCTATGCGCGACCACTATTTTTACGAGTTGTTAAAACACCCGTGTCACTAACTGGTTAGTTTGTTTTTCATTAAGTATTTTAGATATTTTTATAGTACTATTCATACATTTTTAGGAACATTCAAGATGAAAAAAAATGATGTTCAAAATGATGGATTTGATCTTACCAAAGTTGCTGACGATCCTTTATACTTTAATGAAGGAAGGAAGTTCGTTCCACTCACCCAAGAGTTACATGACAGCATTGTAAATGGAGAAAAGAGATTATAAACTGTTTTTAAACTATTGTATATTAAGTATTAGTTTGAAAGGGATTTATATTGATGTTTTTAGTAATAGTGTGATCAAATTGTTGTTTTCCTAATTGACTTTGTGATTTGAATCATACAGTGCTAAAAAACAAAATCAAAGACTTAACATTTATTAGGGTAAAAGCTGTGATTCATTTTTTGTACATCAACTACCTATACAATAAGTTTGGATTGTTACGATATTTGATCATTATATTATATTTTTTTTAAATAAAAGATAATTGTTATAATAATTATTATTGCATTAGAATTTAGATTACTGGAATTGGTCTAACGTATGGTCTATTCACATACCGATTTACTGTAAACAATTTTATTGAAACTACTATCGTCTATTACGATACCATGAACATTTAATTATAGGTCTTATAGTATTAAGTAGCACTAATACAAGTGTAGCCACACAGATACACAATAATAGGACTTGGTACTTTAATTTAACAGAGACCATTGTTGAGATCAGATGATATTTAATTTTGTGATTTTGTGATTTTATTATTTTTAATTTATAATTATGATTTATGGCTAAGACTTTTGAATATTCATATAGACATATAATAAATGTTTAATTATATGTTATGTAGGTAAATTATATATTTTAGTGATTGTAGATCAATAGTACCTAACTTGTTTGCTTGCACTTTATACCAGTGCCAATTTACTTACCTAATAAATAAAATTATATGTATGAAAAAAAAAATGACTATAGCCTATAGTCTATAGTAAAGAATACTTTTATTTTGTATTCGGAATACGTGTTTCAATAAGTCAAATTTTGTGTTTTGGAATGGTTGGAAATTAATGTGGGTCAATCATATTATTTCATTAAAAGAGAAAAACTATTATTCATACCCAATATTTAATGGAAATTTTGTTTTGTCACAAATTTAAAACTATTGAAAGAGTTCAAAAGTGTATTTTTTTAATAAATAAAATGTATACAAAATGAACTATTTAGAAAACTTATTCAAATAAAAACACTCAGAATTTAAAAGTATTTGAATAATTTTTTTTAAATACTTTACAAGGCTGATAGACACACATTCTTTAAATTACATATTTACCTATGCCAGTGATTTTAATAGTTATTCGTATTATTTAAAACAACTTATAATTAAAATTAAACATTTTCATATACTCTTGCTTATTTGAGTAAACTAAGATTTGGAGAAATATTAAGTATTTCAAGTCAAATGTAAATTATTATTAGAAACCTAAGTAATATATAAGAAACTCATATCACTGTGTTTGTGGTCGCACTCTCGAATCGGCTCTACCGATTTTAATCATATTTTTTTGTATATTTGGTAGGTATGGAGAATAGGTCATAAATTATTTTCCACCCTCCTACTACCAACCCGGGGAGATGCTCAAACAAGGATTTTGAGATTTTTGGTGGAAATTTTTGTTTATAAATGATTTAATTTATAAGAGACATAATTAGTAGAAATTAGTATTTATTATTTGGTTGCCATTGGTTGGGCAGATCAGGTGCAAGCATGCATCACACCAAATTTTGGCACATTGGCTACTTGATATGCTGTCGCATATTGTCCGCGATCCGCTGTAGTTGCATTGCCAATCAGGAAGGCTGAATTGCAGTCAAAAGGATTTGAACAATCACAATTTTTTTACGTGAGCGGGATTAGCTAGTAATTCTACAAAATTGTTTTTAAACATATTAATTATACTCAGTAGGTATTCATATTAACATAATGGTCTTACCTAATATTGTTATTTATTACAGTAATATTCGAGATAAATAGGTCTCGCACTCAGATCATAATATTATACTATATAATAAAAATTCTAAGGACTCGCAGGTATTCAACAGTTACAATTAAAAACACATTTGAATCAAAAAAATGTATATTTTAAATTAGTCAAACATAGATTGCTTGTTACATTTAAATGTAATTTTATTTTAAATTAACAGCTAATATTATAATATTGTCTGCTATGTTTTTGTATGATGATTTGTTGGCATAATTTAACAAATTTATATGTTGTAATATGTTTACCTTAAACATTGAAATAAAGTGTAACGATCAAAATTCGATAAATGAAGTATGTATGTTTAAATTGTATAATATAAATAACAAAAAAATTAAGTTTCATAAACAAAAATTCAGAAGACTATATTATAATGATATAATATATTTTCTGTAGTATTAAAAAAAAACTATTATAAATGCTGTAGATCGCTTGATTTACATAGATACAACTTATATTTTATATTATAATATTTAGAAGTTATTTTAAAATAATAATTGGTATTATTATGTAAATACAACAGTCATACTATTCACAGAAAACCGATTAAAAACCTATAATTTAAAAAAATTATATTAAAACAGTTCAATTATTTAAGTTAAACATTTAAAAAATCAAAATGGGTTTTATTATTTTATCAATATAATATGATATTACATTTTCAGCAGGTATTAGAAATAAAATATATACTAATAATTGTCTGTTTATAAAAAAAATTAATGATATTACAAACACTGATTCAAAAACTTGAATCAAACCATACTTGCAACTCTTTATTCAAACCCTAACCGAACCAGACTATTCAACTTTTGTATTTAACTCGAACCAAACTTTAAAAAAATTCAAAAAAAGTTTTAAAAGTATTATGCTGGTAACATGCGAAAAATAAATATGAAAAAACAATATACTCAACAATAATTCCATTAAATTTTTTTGGTGCTCTTCATAAAGTTCAGATCCAAATTTTGATTTTGTTGATACAAAACTATTATAAGGCACTTAAACACTGACGCGGTGATTAATTATTTCAAGGAGCATTTTAACCACCATGGCAGTGTGTAAAAAGCAAACCTTTAAGCTTTTGAGTTCAGTCCAAAGAGTTTGTAAAATTACTATTTAAAATCTTGATTAAATCAATGCGAAATCGATAAAAAAATTCTTTATTTATCATTAATTTCTTAAATGCCCATACAATTATTAAAACACTAATCAAAATTATGTTGAATGAAGCCGTTTTATTTGTTTAATTTAAAAACCTAGAGTTACTGCAACTATAACATTGCACTTAATATTTTGTAGGTACCTGCACAATTAAATGGTTGTGTCACTTCTATAAATCATAATTTTTGGGCTTAAATACATATTTATTGTTGAGACTATTTACTTAACCTAAGTATACGTGTACAATACTTATAAATTGATTTGTTGTATAAAGTCATTATTTTTAATATTTATTAATAAATTACTGAGTTCATAAAAAAATCTAATAATTAAGACATATACTAGGTACTTATAAGTAACACAAACTTGAACACTTGTAGTCTGTTAATATTTAAATAATAATAAAAAAAAAAATTTAAATGTATAAATTATAACTTATTAAGTATAGGTAGTAAATACATATTTTATAATAATGCCTTCATAATCATAAGTAATTAAAACAATTTCTAATTTTACCAAAATATTATATTTTAGTCACTTACATAAACTAATTTTATTAAAGTTTTTTCTTCTAACATTTTAGTAATAAAAAAAAAAAACATTTTGAACCATATAAAATTATAATAAATTACTACATACAATTTAAAATTATATTGGACACTTATGTTAATGACCAAATAACTATAATGAGTAAAAATTAACTCAGGGGCGGATGTATAGCATACTAGACAACTGCTTGGGATGCACATGTCTTAGGGAGTACAAATATAAATAATATGATGTATAACGTACATTTGTTGTATATTATATATCTGTGTTAAGGTCTAGACAGATAGAGCTCAAGATGCTTTAGGACTTCGCTGTATTAAATCTGCCCCTGGATAAAATAGCATATAAAATGAACACAAATGGGTAATAAAAAAAAAAAAAAAACAAAAATAATGAAAAGTAAGACCTACTGTGGTGCCTAATAATTTATTAAATACATTCAAGTTTACAAAATGAATTTACATTCTAAGAAAATCAATGATAATATTAAACCTAGCATTACTAGGTACTAATTTTCACATACCAACTTTAATAATAATACAAATATCTTCGTTTTTCAAGAAAAAATCTCAAGCAATTAGTTTAATATTTAATATTGAGAAACACAATTCTACATTGACTATATTAAACAAGTGGTTTGTACATATGAGACACATTGTATTTTTAAAAGAACAAATCAGTTCAACAGTTTTATTTTTTGTAATGATATTTTTTATAAGATGTTATTTTCACAATGTATGAAATAATGATAAGTTATTATTTTTATAGTTTGTAAATTTAATTTTTAAATAAAATTATACTTACAATAAGTATTTACAATATTATACAAAATTATTAATTAATAATATAATATACATTATTTTCGTAACTCACAAGTCATACTATGATGAGTATACAAGTGATGAACAAAATCGATATAAAAAAGAAATAGGTAACACATGTCTCTTTAAGCATATCATTGAAACCGTATGATATAATATGTATGTTAATGGTTAAAAATTTAAATACATGCAAAAAAAGAAAATACAATTTAGAATTGAAACTGATCAAACTATTTAATTTTGACTAACATTTTTTTTTTAGATATAGGTATAATAAAAAATAATAATCATCGAAGACCAAGGTATTTTTTTTTTTATATAGTTATTTTAAATAAACAACAAATGCAAGTTATTACTAAAACTCACAGAAATATAAACAAGATTTATTTTTTAAACAAATAAAATTTTGTATACCTAGTTTCAAGTTTAAAGATTATGTACTGTACTTGCATGTACTCAAGTCTTATTAACAAACTAAGATACTCAGTGTTAAAAATTAATATCTTTAAATTTAATTTTCAGGATAATTATTTAACAAATGTTGTCAACAACTAAATTATACAAGTATTGATTATTTATTCATTATTGAAATAATCAGAAATATGTACACATTCTCACCATAAGCTGATTCATACATTAGTTATCTACCTAGAATGCAAGAACGCACAGTTGATTAATTTATATTTTATTTACATTCATATTTTAATTAGTTGGTTAGGAATAAGTCATAATAGAAAAACATTTTATTATTTTTCATGGATATTATTCCATACAAATATTTATGCGCTTTATACATTTGTTGATATTGTAACATTAATTCCTAAATTTCCATTATCCGCAAAGAGCTGTGCTGTACTTGTATCGAATACCAAACAGTCTGAATTCAAAATTGCTGTTGAAACTCCTTCATGTATACTTCTTGGTGTTGCCTCCCATGCCAAACGTCTTCGATGTCCATTAAGTTCTAGCCTATATGCAAAATTTTCACATTGCTTTCGGCTACCAATCAATTGTACAATAGCAAAGAACTGTTGGTGCCCTTCATATTTTTCTTGCTTTTCAAGTACGAGCATAAAATGATGGCCAAAACATGATTGCATCATGACCCAATCCACTGCGCCGGGAAGATTTATGTCAGTAGCTAAAAATACTATATCTTCTCCTTGTAATGTTGTTATAGATTTATGTGCAACCATCAAGTGCTCCATGACTTGTTCTAACCCACCTTGCCATTTACATGAAGCACCTGGACATGGACAAGTGTAAGGGCGACATTCACATAGTTCTTCATGTTCGACTTTTTCAGAATGCAACAAAGATACAGGGCAACCCGATGATGAATATTTACAGGGAAACATGACTGTTGAAGCTACTTTTTCCATGGCTAAGTTGCGTATGTTGCCTAGTGGACCACGGCATGTTGGGCAACAGTTGAGTTTTGGTCGACATGTACTACAAACTAAATGGCCACTTTGGCATTGCAATATCGGGGGTAACACATAATCAAAACAAACAGGGCATTCAAAAAGTGAAGCTAAATCAGCAGATATTGATGCAGAGTTAGAAGCAGAACCACCATTGTGAGAGCTATTACTGCCTACAGCACTTCTTCGTTTCGTCCCACCACCGCTCGGTAATAAAACACTGACCGTGCTTACACTAGCAGTTGGATTACCGATTGATGTTCCACCACTATTTGATCCACCAGATCCACTCATCCTTGTTTCTTGATCAGTGACTAAATGGTGGTTGAATTCCACAATACCACTGTTATTGGAAATGGAGGTGTTTTCTGCCATGTAAAGCTAACGAATAATCATGAGCGTATTTAATCAAGTCTTTGGTATTGCAACACATGAGAACTGAACCAATGTAAACCAAATTAATCGTTTGGTATTGAACACGAGTTGTCAGAAAACAAACAATAATTTGCAAGACGAAACTTCCGCGCATGCGGCGTACTTCTCGACGTTGTCCATTTCTTATTTGATACTTTTATTTAAGTCTAATTACATATAAATTAAGCTAAAAACATGTAAGTACCTCACGCGTACTTTGGATGTTATTTTCCCGATTCACCGTCAATCACGAACTGCTGTCCTTTATCGATGCACGGTTGCGATTCATGTCCAAATTGGTAGGTATAAGGACTAACTTGGACATCCGGCGTCGGGCGAATAAGACAAAATTGAACACACTTTATAAGAATATAACAACGTTTGACTACGGTGTTTGTATAATACGGGATTCAATAGATATTTCACTTTGTCGTATTGGTAAACAAACGGACATAGAAGAAACGCGTGAAAACCGTAAAAAAATAACAAATTAGTAAACCTACA